TGATTTTCGAATTTCAACCATTTATGTTTTATTTGTAAAGTTGTACGTTTATAACAAAAACTCAACTTTAATTAAAGTAATACTAACACATTAGCTGATATAAAATTAAATAATTGTATGATCAGTCACATTTGATATCCAAATAGACACAATTTTTATAAAGTAATTAACATCTTTTTTTTGGCCAAAATAAAGTAAATTAACATCAGTAAATGATTCATAGTTAAAACATTCGATTCTATAATGTCTAAATATTAAAATGTTCTATTTTAGTTGGATTTAAATTAGTGACATATGTATTTATGAGTTCATGTTAACAAATTAATGTAAATTGTAAAGATTTTCAACATGACAAATAGGATTAATTTGAATGTTTTAATTGGTTAATTTAATTGATATGTCCTTTATAATTCTTATTAAATGACACATAATATTTTTTTTTACTTAATGTTTTCTCGATTAATATATTACTCTCTCTATCCCAAAATGTAAGATATTTTAAGTTTTTTTATTTTGTTTTATATTATAAGATTTTTTCAAATTTTTAAAAAAAATTTAATATATTATGACTATTTATATTCTGCAGTGTTTTTTAATTAAATGTTAAACGGTGTTTTTAATGTAAAAAAACAAAACAAAATAAAAATTTAAATAATTCTTAAATTCTACGTTTTAAATAGAAAATTTTATATAACGAGACATAGAGTATAAAGGATTTTTTACAGTCGCGAAATTATGTTTTACAACTCAACATGTTTTTTATGAAACCCCTTTTAGTAATAATGAAAAAGCTGATTTTTATGGTGCGATAAAAAAATGATTGAAATAGGCTCGTGGTCGTGGTTACTTCGTGGGTGCGTTTTGTTAATTAAATTTATTTTCATGGCTTTGCTTTTTTGCATGGCAAACCCCACGAGAGTTTCTTATCCTTTAGAAATAGCCATAACACATGTCAGAATCACCTAGAATCCGATTTCGATCGATTAACTCATTCAAAATGATGAATTAAAAAGTAATTAAAGTCGACAACAACATTATGTATACCTTTTTCTTAATATATAAAGGATCACCTAAAAAGGGGTGGTAGTTATACATATTCAAACTCTTTATTGACCAGCGACTCCTAATTAAGTCACTATCATGCATGATTTTCTTTTCTTTTAAAGTTTTTCTAAATAAAATTTTTTAAAAGTTTTTTTAAAATATGTTGTCTTTCTAAAAAGTGTTTTTTTCCCGTAACTATCACAAAATACATTTTTATAAAGGAAAATTGGCATATATAACCTAAAAAAACTATAATATATAAACTAACCAAAT